CCAGCTCAGCCCAGCCCAGCCCAGACCAGCTCAGCTCCAGCCCAGTCCAGCTCAGCCCAGCCCAGCCCAGCCCAGCTCAGCTCAGCCCAGTCCAGTCCAGCTCAGCCCAGTCCAGCTCAGCCCAGCCCAGCCCAGCCCAGACCAGTCCAGTCCAGCTCAGCTAAGCCCAGCTCAGCCCATGCAGCCCCACGCAATGGTCTCAGCCAAGACCCCAGGGCCATGGGCAGGGACGAGCCAGGCAGCGGTGCCACGCAGCCAGGGCCCAGGGAGGGAGGCCAGCAGCCTCAGGGCACACACACCTCTGGCTGTGCTGGGCCATCTCAATGGCGCGCCGCGCAGGCACCGGGGAGCCGCCGTCTGTCACGCTGAGCACCTCCATGGACTTGCGCTCCGGCCGCCGCTTGCCATGGCGGTTCAGCATCGGGGAGTCCACACGCTTCCGGGGAGGGTCTGTGCACAGACGAACGTCAGGCCACGCAGCCCCTGGGCCCGGTGGGGCAGTGCCGGCCAGGCGGAGGCCACCCCCAGACCATACCTATCTCATTCCTGGGGGGCAGGTCCTCATCCTCCTGGCTCGGGTACCTTTCTTTCCGGTCCAGTAGGAGGAAGTAAATCATCTTCTCCTGGTTCTCCCTACGGTGGGCAAGAGGTGCGGGGTGCACTGGCACACGGGGCCACCGGCTCCTCCATGACGGGGCTCCCACCCCCAGGCTCCCCCCTCCCCACCGCCGCCCCCAGGAGCCTCCTGGGACGCACTCCTCCGACAGCAGGTCCTGCAGCAGTTTGTTGCGGTCTCGGAAGCAGCCCAGGGAATGCATGCTGTCCAGCACGTCGGGGTCGATGTCCTCCAGGCTGGGCAGCGAGCGGATCTGGACCTTGCGGGGAATGGGCTGCTCCGGCTCCGGTTCGTTCTTGCCCCCTCTGTGGACACAGGGCAGCCCGCCCGGCTGTCAGCACTGGCCGGGCCTGGGAGGCTGGGAGGCCCGCCCTCACCTGGGCCCTGCATCCTGCCACTCTCCCTGTGCCCAGCCCGGGGAGGCCTCCTGCGTCCTGCCCGCACCCCGCACCCAGCGCAGGCCACCAAGGGCCGAGGGCCAAGGCGGGGCAGGGCCGGCAACCTCCCCCCGCCTTTCCTAGCAGGGCCTCCAGGCCACAGCGACAGGCAAAGCAGGCGATTAGTGGGTGGAAAAGCTACTTACATATACCATATGTGTTTCTGAATGTGCTCTAGCTACAAGGAAAGAGAAACAGGGAGTTAGTATGGACAAGGGTTGGAGAGAGTCCACATTAGGAGGTGAGGGGAAGGTGGGGGCGCTGGGGGTGCAGAGAGAGCAGGAGAGGGTGAGGGCAGGTGAGGAGAGGGAGGGGGGAGGAGGGTGGGGCGGGGGCTGCATTCCCAGAGGCTCATTGCCAGCACCCCTGCCCCTCTCTCTCCCAAGTGGAGAAGAAAATGCAAACCTCGAGGAGGAGGTAAGCTGGGGGTCGGGGGTGGGGGAACTCCCGGTAGGGGCAGGGGCCCAGGGAGCAGAGGGAGAGGGGAGGCAGCGAAGCTGGAGCCAGGGCGGCCCCAGGTGCCTGTGCTGCCTGGGCCAGATCCCTCCATGGCTCTAAAAAGGAACCAAGGCAGGAGAGCGGGGAGCTGAAGCCAGGAGAACCCGGCCCACCTGTGTGGCGGGGGCGGGGCTGGGTGCAGGTGCGAGCAGGAGGCTGGGAGGGCCGGCCAGCCACACGGCCCCTTCTCTCCACCCTGACTCAGACAGCTCGGGGTTGTGGGGCGGTGGCCTCTTGGGAACAGACCAACACTATCCTGGAAAGGCCAGCCCAGAGGGTGACCTGCTTCTGTCAAGTGGACGTGCGGGGTCCCCACACCAGACTGCCCTGGAGGAGGCTGGGACCAGCAGGTGGGGGTTACCTTTGGCTTTTGCCAGCCCCACAGCTGCCAGGGTCCCTTAGGGGCAAGTGTTCACACAGCCTGGGGCTTTTCCCAGCGGCATGTGGAGGAAGGTGGCCGCGATGGGGAAGCACCGGTGCTTTTGTGTAACTTACAGCCCAGGCCTCACCTGTCTGTACACGTAGCCCCCACACCTGCACCCCCACCCACGCACCCCTGCCTGTGCATACCCACACCTATCAAAGTGCTCACAGGCACCTGGACACACCTCCCCACACGTGCACATGCCCACGCCTGTGCCCCCACCCAAACACATGAACCTGGGCACACTCCACACCTGGGCACCCCCACACCTGGGCATATGCCTACATTTGTGTATCCCCACACCTGAACACAAGCCCAAACCTGGGCACCCACACAACTGAGCACCTGACCACACACCTGAGCACATGCCCACATACCTGGGCACCCCCACACCTGGGCACCCACACACCTGTACATCCCCACACAGCTGAACACACACACCTGGGCACCCACACACCTGTACATCCCCACACAGCTGAACACACACACCTGGGCACCCACACACCTGGGCACCTATCCACACACCGGGGCCCCTGTCCACACACCCTGGTGCCCACACATCTGGGCACATGCCTGCCTCTGCGACGCCCGGGCACCCCACTCCGACGCGGACACGCACCGTCAGGCGGCGCGCGGCATCCACCTCGATCATGCCCCGCAGCAGGCTCTGGCAGTCAGGCGGGATGAAGTGTGGCATGTGGAACACACCCCGCTTCACCTTCTCCAGCAGCTGCCGTAGGTTGTCGTCATCGAAGGGCAGGGCCCCCTGCGGGCGGCGGGCGGGGGTCATCGAGGCCCTGGGGGTGGGGAGTGTGTGGGAAGGGAGAGGCGGGGAACTGGGGCGGGGGCCGGGGTCTCACCACCAGCAAGGCGAAAAGGATGACGCCGCAGCTCCACACGTCCGCCTTCCGGCCGTCATACTTCTCCCCCTGCGGACAGCAGTGCCTGGGCTGTTGGGGGGTGCAGGGTGGGGCAGGGGGGCCTTGGCGGGGCTGGACAGAGGGCCCAGGAGGAAGCTGGGCCCCAGGACAGGTGGGTGTGGCAGGCTGGGGTCCCACTGGGATCAGGTCCCTGCCACCCTGGGACCCGCAGGGATGCACACAGCAGTGGGGACTCACCCGGATCACCTCGGGGCAGGCGTAGTGGGGGGACCTGCGGGCAAGGGCAGAGGTCAGCAGTGGGCTCTGGGCGCTGCCAGTCCCTGCCCCCAGGGCAGTGGTGCATCTCGGGGTCCTCAGGTAGGCTCACTGGGCTTTGGCACCAGACGCCCCCAGGTTCCCTGAATCCCCAGGAGGCTTCTGAGAGGAGACCAAGGTCGGGGCACTGGGTCTCTGCTTCACTCGGCCGAGCAAGGGCTGGGGGTCTCCAGGAGAGGGGCCTGTAGGGTCCCAGCCTCACTCCCAGGTGGGCAGGATGCACCCCTATCCTCACTGTACAGACCTTCCAGGGGTCCCACCTCCCCACCACCACCAGGCTGGGGGGGATACTGGGAAACTCAAGCACATTGTTGGGGGTACTGGGAGACTGAAGCCCGTGGGGTGCCGGGAGGCTCAGGCAGGCTGGGGACCTCTCAGCCCGCCGGCTCCTCCTCTTCCCCCAGCCCAGCCCATGCAGAGCCAGCAGGCAGGAGAGCCACACACCCGCAGCTGGTCTCCAACAGGCTGTCGCCAACCTGCAGGGATGCCATGCCGAAGTCCGCGATCCGGATGTTGTTCTTCTCGTCCAGCAGGAGGTTTTCGGGTTTCAGATCCCTGTGGCTGGGGAGGAGGGCAGTGAGGCTGAACAGGGCCAACCTCTGCCTTGAGAGCCTCCCGGCCCTAGAGACCCCTGCCAGCATGCACTGCCTCTCCAAATGCCAATCACACAGAGGGGCCAATGGCAGCCCGGCCTGGTGATGTCACTGGCAGCCAATCAGAAGTCACCCACCTGGTCTGTTTGGCTCTTGCCTTTGGTCAGGCATCCCTATGCCATGCCCTCCTGTCCCCAGGGAAGGCTCCTTCCTGTTCCTCCTGCTCCCTAGCACATCTTCTCTGGCCCAGGGCAACCTAAGGCCCCCAGGCGTGTAGGGATGCATGGTAGGGCCCCCAGAGCCCTTGGGTGGGCACCAGGCAGAAACCGTCCCGACACACTGCCCACTCCAGAGGAAGGGGAGGTGCTGGGGTTGCTGTTCCTGGGGCTGAAGGGGAACACCTGGTGTGGCACGGTGCACCTGAGGGGTAGCTCCTGGGGGAGCACGGTGCACCTGAGGGGTAGCTCCTGGGGGAGCACGGTGCACCTGAGGGGTAGGGGTAGCTTCTAGGGGGGGCACGGTGCACAGGAGGGGTAGGGGTAGCTCCTGGGGGGGCACGGTGCACCTGAGGGGTAGCTCCTGGGGGAGCACGGTGCACCTGAGGGGTAGGGGTAGCTTCTAGGGGGGGCACGGTGCACAGGAGGGGTAGGGGTAGCTCCTGGGGGGGCACGGTGCACCTGAGGGGTAG